AAAACGTACAGCCTATCAGGAAAATCTCATTGTCAATACTTTTTACAATGAAGCGAATGTATGTGTAAATAGTAAATTACCAAAAAGTATTGTAGTATTACAGGCATCTACCGGTATATAATATCCAATATTAATGTTATATATGTATATATGAATTCATTGTATTTTTTTAACTTACAAATAAATCTGCTTGTTGTAATATGCAAACATAATCTTGTAATTCGTCAAAATTTGTTTAGGTGTGGTTTTGGCGGCATAATTTCTATTTTTGTTTTCTTTTTCAGTTGTCAGATTTGATGACGTTTCCATGTTGGAGATTTTTTCACTCGTTTCCTTTAGCATTTCTTTCGTTTCGCACATGTGTTTTGTATTTGTTTCAAATCTAAAATAAAATTATGTTCATTAGCATTAGTTCATAAAAAATTGCAGTAACATACCTTTGCAATATTTTATAGCGCCTCATTTTCAAAAACAATCACCGTAAGTTCTTCATAATCAGTGATTAATGGTGGTCTTTCCAGCTTATCTGAAAAAACTCCTTTTGTTATCTACGTACAATTATCAAAAATAACAGAAACACGTAAAAATTAGAATGATTACTTTATTAGACATTAACTTACCTACTATAAATAAGTACAACCCACACTGAATGGCATAAATTTGCACAAAACTGCGTTAAAAATGAAGTGAGTAACGGATACACGAGAAAGTTTCGGTGGTTGAGAACTAGCTGGAAATATTGGAATGCTTCTCTGTGAAGTGCAATAAACATAAATACCGAAAAAAGGGAAAGTCCGAATGCACACCTCAAACATCTGATGTATTGTATAGTAAATACGGATAAGAATAAATTTAACAAAACTGAATATCTCGAATTTTTTTGGTAACCGTCATCACTTTATAAACGTCTTTATAAAATCAAAATTCGACGAAGGAATTCTTCAAAACCTTGTCCCGTTTTAGGGACAATGGACAAAGAATTTTTATGACTTTGTTTGTGTCGTTGGGTCTTTTCGCTGAACCCCAGATGTTCTATTTATAATTTGCCAAGCAGGTACTTACAAAATAACACTTCCAGAGTAAACAAGTTTTCAGAAATAATTATTTTATTAGAAATTATTAGAATGAAAAAACTTGTCTTTGGTGTATTTCTAATTAAGCCGTTGTATTTTTTGCTCTAAATATAATCAAGCATTATGAAGGTCACTTTTTGAAGAATACGACGACCCACATCTAATTGATCATATAATCTATAAAAAATGACGAAGAAAGGACGGCCTTTTGACGTCATTAATTGACGTCAGAAGTAAGTCATAAAAATCTCGTCATTTTCACGTGATTTTTTGGGCGAATGACGTCGCCGACGAATTATGACCAAAAATTGACGTGAATTAGACGACAGTCTGCTGCTTGGGTAGGGGGATTTTTCGGTAGTATCTAGTGAGAGGGTTGGTAGAAGTTGTCTGGCTTGGTAGATGAGCCATTCTGTTCGGTGGCGTCACTATTGTTTTGTTTTGTTTTGTTTTGGTGTATTGTTTGTAAATTCACAGTTCATATTAGGATTTTAATCGTTAACTAAGTCTAACACAATTTAACGGTCCTGAGATTATTTATATACAGCACTTGCAAGGAGATTTCATAAAATCACTTAGTCAGAACTCATTCTTTGTTTACCAAATTATGAATAAGGTTTTTGGATGTTTATACTTTTAATTCCTCACATAAGATTGTTAATACTTCATTTACGGCAGTTAAATCAATCTAACGCTGTCCCACTTTGGGAAAAGGATCGTGCAAAGTGGGGTAGAATTCATAATATCCTGAACTGAGGTACAGGGGATTAAAAAAGTTTTGCCCCATATCATCATCATACCACCGAGGCATTTTTTTTCCGCAACGTGAAAAATTACGTCACCTTTTCACGCAACGCCGGATGCATTTTGTGTTTATTTATCATGTGTTTGGGATAAGCTAGGGACAGTCCGCGATATAAACTCTCAAAGCTAATTGTTTTAAGTAACCAATCATTTGGATCAAGGATCATTTAACATAATGTAAATTCTTTCTTTGAATCGTTGATAAAGTGTGGGATAATTTAACATCAGATAAGTTCTTTGTTCTGGCCATGTTGAAAGAGTGTTTTCAAACCAAGAACATGTTTGAACTGTAAAATCTCATCGAACAAATTAACAAAATTGTGGGTCATGTGAGACGTGCATTTTATTCCTTTAATTTAGACCATTATTTGCACAGCGGTGCAGGATTGATCACATTTCTGGAAGACATCTTTTTGACGCTCTTTTTTTGAACGACGCCATTTTGAATCTCCAGATTGCCTGCTATGTTTTTTTATGTACTTCGTGCTCTGCAGTTCCTAACCTCACGTAATTTTTATCACGTTACTGTTATTTTATAGAAATTAGACATTTAAATGGAATTGAGGAGTGCGCGGTTCCTTATCGAGCTGACGGTCGCGCCATCTGCACAAAGGATGCAGGCCTAGGATAGAAGTCGGGGGAGCGGTCGGGATGACGTGACGCTGTCAGTTTATCTATAGCCGTGACTTCCAACCACGAGTTTGTCACCGTAACGGCCCATTAACGCGTTAGGGGACATGTGCTTGCCGAATAGAATCACCGTCGTGGGTAGAAGAACACCCACGACCAGGAGCCCCAAACTCCGCTCGTACTACAACGTCCCCTATGGGTAATTCCACTGTGCTCTAGAATGAAATTGACACAGCTCGAACGCCACACTCTTATAGCGCTCTGGTACTGCTGCCGGTGCATAGTTTTTTTATTAAAATTTTGTTCTCTTGTTGACTGCCATCATAATTCTAAATTTGCCGCCACACGTCCGTAATAACTACTTGTGTACTTGCATCCAGTTACTTTAATTCAAATTTTTCTTTGTTTTTATTAAATTTGTGATTTTCAAATGTTTGCATTGATTCAGAGCGTTTAATTTGATTTCATTCAAAGTAAGGCAAGTTTTTTTTTGCAGCTGACCAATAAGAGGTGTGGAATGATTTTGTGTCCTCCATATATTTTGTATTTTTATTTAGCGGTACTTTTCCAACCTTGGGGTCCACCACTTGCATCTGAACTCATTCCGCCATAAAAAAAAACAAACACAGTGTAGGGTTCCATTTTGTTAGACAATCACAGCCAAGGCCAAATTTTTCAATTTTTCGCGGACTTTTCAAACGTACAAGTGTCAATTCAAAGCGGGAAGTTTGGGTTATCACAATGACAATGTGTCATTATCGTACAACCTGAATTTGAACATTACTTACTATGTGCCTGTTGTGTTTATTTCGTATGTACTTTGTTTATGTGATAGAACTTTCGGTCTACGACGTAATCTTTATGAACTCATTTTGATTTGAAAATGAAGTTTTTCTATGTCATTGTTCATGTGAATGTTTATCTGCAATACGGGATTTCGCCGCCGTGAATCAGGCCACCCACACTGCGTATTTTCACTCGGCTTGCCACCACAGAGTTAATATTTTTCGTTTTTGTATGTATTTAAAATTGTGATATTAAAATATTTGTTATCGATTTCTGACGTTCATTTGATTTTTGAAAGCTGGTGAGATTTTTGCAGCCCGATGAATAAGTTCTTCAGACTTATTTTACAACTTTTTCGTCCCCAAGAAGAAGGTTAAAGGATCTGCCTTCCATATTTTGGATTTTGATATAAGGCCACTTTTTCATCCTTGAGGTTCACTACAGTTCAAGGCCAAATTTAAAAATGTTCGCGAGTTTTATAATTTAAAAGTTAAACGCATTTACCATGTTTACGATAACTTTAAAGCACTTGCAAGATTTCAGGGCAGTTAGTTGTATATTGTAACGAAGCATGTTTTCGCGGGCTGTAAACCGTTTTTTTCGTTATTGTCAAAAGCCGAAACCGTTCTGAGCTCCCCTCCCGGGTCGCCGTACCGTCCCACGCGATTTCCCGTTCCAGGGTCGTCGCCTCCAGGTCCAGGAGGAGGCCGTCCAGGAGGAATGACCGTGCCAGACGTTTTATTCTTTTTTTTTTATTTTGTAAAGTTTCTTTTCTAGTTATTTAAGAATTATCCGTAAGATTATTTTAGCCGTGTGCCTGGTGGCAGGAAATAAAAGCCCGATTATTGTTAAAAATCTTCCTCCGTTTTATTTTATTTCTTGTTTTCGCGGGCGCTCACCATATCACCTGAAGATCTGTGTCTCCGGCTTTAGAGCAACCCCGGAGAGGGAACTGGCGCCCGAGCACCGCCGCTCCCGACCGAAGGCGCCACCTCAGCCGGCGTTATTTTCTCAGGGGCACTAGTCGGCCCAAGGCTTGGCACCGAGGCACGCCGCCCCCACGCGTTATTGGCGAAATTCCGGACCGTCACCGGAATTTCTTCGCAATATCTTTTGAAATAGCTTTTCAAATTTAAATTATCAGAAGACGTTGTAACAAGAGCGGAATTTAAGTCCCTCGTGGTAGTCTGTCACCCTTCCTCGGTAATTTTACTCTTGACAGGTATACACACACCCACTATATTTCTATGCCTGAAAAACCTGCCGCATATTATACTCTCTACCCGCTCTTCACAAAATAGCCAGAAACTGTGTTCCGCTTTCGTCACATGATATTGTGCTTTTATTTTAATTTAATTCAAATTCAGTCTTTCTCGAATTTGTAATGATAATTGCATGAATACCATAATTACAAGAAATTAAGCAAGCCACATTCGTCAAATTTCCATCGTGAATCACCTCAAAAAATCCTCACATCACGTTTACAGAGCACATATGAAATAAACACAACAGGCCAATATTAAATGCAGTAGAACAACATCAAAAATAAGGTGAATTAGATGCATGTCTCAGGTTGTGCGAATAATTTACCAATAAAATCTCCAAATTCAGTTTGTCAAACGTTGATACCCAAATAATAACAAAAGCAACCACAAACAAATTAAAATGAATTATAATTAATGGATTATACATATATCCGGCTTTAAGGTTTTCCGCAAGGGTATTGAAAACGTAGACATTTTTAAATCCAAAAGCCTGGGACCCGCCCCATGGATAATTTTTGCCCTCCCTAACATCTTCAAAGTACACCCAAAAAACACCCTCAGAATGTCAGATTTACCCCCAAACATAGCCATAGCTCTCGAACTCACAGTTCTTTTAGCACAACCCCAACCCAACTGGGCCCTGCTACTAAAAGTAAGCCGACTCATTTCGTACTATCCTTATTACACCCTCCAGGTTTTAGGAATGAAAAACTGCAAACTCTTAAAGTTAATACTGGAGTTTTCTTTGGAAAATTTTTCCGCGGAAATCCAGCAACCAACAATCAGAGTCGAACCCTGCGGATTCTTTCTGTGTTCCAGCGACGGAACATGCAAGTGCATCGACACGTCAGTGCCTTTTCTCACTCCACTACACTACTACGACTTGATTGCGTCAGTCACTTGCGTTATTCTAACGATTGGCAGCAATGACGATTTTTCCGATATACTCTTTTCGGCGATTAGTCATCAACCCAATTGGGCAAAGTGCTTCGACCGCAGAAACGTAACCAACTTTATCTCCCCCTAGTTCCAAATGCGACTGTACTTAATCTTGAAGGTTTGGAACCAAATCAGACCACCCTGGTACGAATCTATCTTAACCTTCATCAAACCCCTTCTTCCAACCATCACCAGAACCGTCATCAACGCGATTCAAACCGGAGCGAGTATGTACCAAGCGATGTTGGTCATTCTGGGTTGCTACAGCCAGTTGTGGGACTGCGTGAACACAGTCTTACCCAGAGTATCAACCCTAATACAAGATCTACTCCCTGCTGACGTAACCCCATTGAACCATTCCGCTCTAATCCAGATACTTATCAGCGCTTTGTACACAGAGTTGTTGCGCCAGTCCGAGCTAGAACAAAACAAGAAGGTTAAATTTTCTGGTGTTCCGGCTGAAACTCCTGCCAAAGTACCAGAACACAAAAATTCAATTACGAGCTTCGAAGGGAGTTGTAGCTCACCTGGAGATATAGCGCTAGCGGTTGCCGAGTCTTTGTGTAGTATCGACGAAGACAACAAGCACACTGACCAAATTGAGGAGTTTTTGGAGCAGGTGAAGGACAGTTTGGAGATGTTTGACGATAGTGGTGAGGAGGGATCGTCAAGGGTTGAAGGGAGCGAACAGATCACTGAAGTGCTGGTTAGTGATATTTTGATGACGATGCATGGGAAGAAGAGTCTGAAGGTAATTGTTGTCTTTTGGTGTCAATAGTGTGAAGTTGCTATTTTAGAGACTGCACCACTTCATTAAAAATAATAGTGAGTGGTTTTTTCAAAAGTTGGGGATTAGTGAGAAGGTTGAACCAGTCGTTCCGAATAGAGTTATAGCGGCTAGTTGTCCCCTTTTGCATACGATGTTTCATATTGGGTATAGGTCCTTCGACCAGGTGGGTATTCTGATGGTGATATTATGATGTGATTTGGTGTTTACATAGCTGCTGACTGGAGAGTGGCAACCTAACTGGAATGGTTTGTTCCAAACACCAATGGGATTGAGCATTGACAGGGTTTGGGCACAAATTTCTCTGCGTTGGGAATTTAGAGATATAAATTCCTCGTCTTTGTCTACCAGAGACGTGCAGATTGTTAATCATTTAACGACGGTTTTAAAGCAGTCTTAGTTTAAATATTGTTAACTCTTAGTAGATCACTAGCAACTTTAGTAGTAATGATTATATTCCTGCTTTAAAAAACCACTAGAACTTTTAAGGTGTGAATTCGGAAAAGTCGAAAGGAAGTGGAGGGTGAAAAAGAGAGGAAATGGAACAGAGTGACAAATGTATAATGAAATAAACCACCCTTCATCGAGAGTGTAAACTCTAAATAAATGAGCTGATGAGATTGGTTGTTTTTTATTTTAGCACTTTTGACACGCATTTTCCCAAATGGTTCATGTGAACCTTGGCAATTTTTAGAATTTCTAAAACTTTGCTTTTTAAGGCGAACACTTCAAAAATTATTCTGCAAGACCAAAAACACATGATACATTTCAAATCAGCACGTCGAAATCTGTTTTTCAAAATTTTTTGAGGATTTTTAGGAAACTTTTTCAAAATCTCAAATTTCCTTACGAAAAATTCCAACTGTTTTTGAAAATTATCCAAACACATTTTCCTGTAGATTTAGACCTCTTGAAGTAACTTCAGGTTTCGTTTTGTTGATAACTCGTACCATTTTTTTGGAATCGTCCATTAAAATACAACAATGTGTACGATTTCCTAAAAAAAAATAATTTCAAACCGACTATTTCAAAAATCATCATCTCAGACCACAAATCGACAGGTTGGGGTCTATTTTCCAAAAATTTTTGAGGGTTTTTGGGCAACAAAAATAAAAAAAAGATAAAGAAATCATAAAAACTAAGGAAGATAAAAATTTTATCGTCTAAACATACTATGAATAAAAATCTCCTTACCTCTAGACAACGAATTTAAAACTCTACCTTCCAAGAGAATAGAGGGCGGGTGGGTGGGGCTAGTACCTGGTAAGATAAAACTAATTTTGGTAAATGATATAACCTCAAAGAAAAGAGAAGTGGAGCTAAGATAAAACTGATTTTGGCAAATGAGATCCCTCTGATAATATAGAGGGCGGGAGGGCGGGGCTAGTACTTGTTAAAATAAGACCGATTTTGGCAAATGACATACCCTCTAAGAAAAGAGAGGGTGGGCGGCTGGGGCTAATACCTGCTAAGATAAGACTGATTTTAGTAAACGATGTACCCTTTAAGAAATTTAAATTTGCCCAAACATTAAGGGATCTCCTTTCTTATGAAAATTTCGATAAATTTTCGACCTTTAACACATTTTCTTGTAGATTTCGACCTCTTAAAGTTACTTCGTGTTTCGTTTCTTTGATAACTCCTACCATTTTTTCGGAATCGCCCACTGAAATTTCGAAAATCCTTATCCGAGACCACAAACGCGCAATATTTTTCGAATCAGTACGTTGAGATCTATTTTCTAGAATTTTTTGAGGATTTTTAAGCAACTTTTCCAAAATCTCAAATTTCCAATCCACCTCCATTACGAAAATTTCGACCAATTTTTGACCATTTCCGAAAATTACCTAAACACATTTTCGTCTAGATTTGGATCTTTGATGTTACTTACGGTTTCGTTTTGTCGATAGGTCCTACCATTTTTTCGGAGTAACCCATTGAAAGATGATTTCTTAAAAAATTAGATTTCAAGTCGAATGTTTCAAAAATCATTATCTGAGGCCACAGACACGCTATAATTTTTCCAGTCAACACATTAAGATCTATGTTTCAGAATTTATAAGGTTTTTTGACAACTTTTTCAAAATCTTAAATTTCCAACACAATTTCCCTATGAAAATTTTACCCATTTCGACTATTTTCGAAAATTACCAAAACACATTTTCTTGTAAATTTTGGCCTCTAGAATTTACTTTCGATTTCGTTTCTTGGATAACTTCTACAATTTTTTCGGAACCGCCAACTGGAATATGACAATTTTTAGGATTTCTTAAAAAAATTGAACTTCAAGCCGAATATTTCGAAAATCGTTATCCGAGACCACAAACACGCTATATTTTTCGAATCATCATGTCGAGATCTCTTTCCAAAATTTTCTGAAGATTTCTAAGCACTTTTTTCAAAATTTCAAATTCCCTAATGAAAATTTCGACCATTTTCGAAAATTACATAAACGCATTTTCTTTTTTCCGGAATCAACCGTTGAAATATCGAAAATTTTAGAAATTTTCAAAAATTCGCATTTCGTATACGATTCTTTCGAAAATCTTGCTCCGTGACCATCAAAATGCTATATTTTTGGAACCAGCATGTCGAGATCTACGTCCCTGAATTTTTGGAATCAGCATGTCGAAATCTACGTCCTTGAATTTTTTCACAATTTTTAGACAACTTTTTTAAAAGTGAAAATTTTCCAATGGTCCCCCCTCCTTCAAATTTCGGCCGAATTTTGACATTTTCGAAACTTAACTAAACACATTTTCTTGTAGATTTCGAACTCTAGAACTCACTTCCGGCATCGTTTCTTTGATAACTGCAACCGTTTTTCCGGAATCGACTGTTGAAATATCGAAAATTTTAGAAATGTTCAAAAATTCGCATTTCGTATGCGATTCTTTCGAAAATGTTGCTCCGTGACCATCAAAATGCTATATTTTTGGAATCAGCATGTCGAGATCTGCGTCCCTGAATTTTTTCACAATTTTCGGAGAACTTTTTTAAAAATGAAAATTTTCCAATGGTCCCCCCTTCTTCAAATTTCCGCCAAATTTTGACATTTTCGAAACTTAACTAAACACATTTTCTTGTAGATTTCGAGCTCTAGAGAACTCACTTCCGGCATAGTTTCTTTGATAACTGCAACCGTTTTTCCGGAATCGACTGTTGTGTTGCGCGTAGGGGTTGGCAATTCAAACAGATTGGGCAGTACACCAAATTTATTAGAAGAAAATGTCGCTGGTACGGGTGTTGGTTACAATTATCCCTTGTCTGCTACAAACTACAACTACTTCTTCAACTACAAATACAAATACAACTAATACAACTAATACAACTAACTTCTTCAGGTGCGAGCCAAAAGTTATATATTGACAACTATAGTCATGTGACCGGCCATAGTTGCGGAGTAATGACATGACCTCCTTAATTTTGATTGAGTCGATACTTAGCAATCGCGGAAAAGGAAATGCAACTCAGCTTGACTTCGGACTCGCTTCCTTCTAACAACGCTTGCACATGCTGCCGCAGCAACCCCAATTAAACAGGATATTTCACAACAGTTGAAATATCGAAAATTTTAGAAATTTTCAAAAATTCGCATTTCGTATACGATTCTTTCGAAAATGTTGCTCCGTGACCATCAAAATGCTATATTTTTGGAATCAGCATGTCGAAATCTGCGTCCCTGAATTTTTTCACAATTTTCAGACAACTTTTTTAAAAATGAAAATTTTCCAATGGTCCCCCCTTCTTCAAATTTCCGCCAAATTTTGACATTTTCGAAACTTAACTAAACACATTTTCTTGTAGATTTCGAGCTCTAGAACTCACTTCCGGCATCGTTTCTTTGATAACTGCAACCGTTTTTTCCGGAATTGACTGTTGAAATATCGCAAATTCTAGAAATTTTCAAAAATTCGCATTTCGTATACGATTCTTTCGAAAATGTTGCTCCGTGACCATCAAAATGCTATATTTTTGGAATCAGCATGTCGAGATCTACGTCCCTGAATTTTTTCACAATTTTCAGACAACTTTTTTAAAAATGAAAATTTTCCAATGGTCCCCACTTCTTCAAATTTCTGCCAAATTTTGACATTTTCGAAACTTAAGTAAACACATTTTCTTGTAGATTTCGAGCTCTAGAACTCACTTCCGGCATCGTTTCTTTGATAACAGCAACCGTTTTTCCGGAATCGACTGTTGAAATATCGAAAATTTTAGAAATTTTCAAAAATTCGCATTTCGTATACGATTCTTTCGAAAATGTTGCTCCGTGATCATCAAAATGCTATTTTTTGGAATCAGCATATCGAGATCTACGTCCCTGAATTTTTTCACAATTTTCAGACAACTTTTTTAAAAATGAAAATTTTCCAATGGTCCCCCCTTCTTCAAATTTCCGCTAAATTTTGACATTTTCGAAACTTAACTAAACACATTTTCTTGTAGATTTCGAGCTCTAGAATTCACTTCCGGCATCGTTTCTTTGATAACTGCAACCGTTTTTCCGGAATCGACTGCTGAAATATCGAAAAGTTTAGAAATTTTCAAAAATTTGCATTTCGTCTAAGGTTCTTTCGATAATGTTGCTCCGTGACCACAAAATGCTATATTTTTGGAATCAGCATGTCGAGATCTGCATCCCTGAATTTTTTCACAATTTTTAGACAACTTTTTTAAAAGTAAAAATTTTCCAATGGTCCCCCCTTCTTCAAATTTCCGCCAAATTTTGACATTTTCGAAACTTAACTAAACACATTTTCTTGTAGATTTCGAGCTCTAGAACTCACTTCCGGCATCGTTTCTTTGATAACTGCAACCGTTTTTCCGGAATCGACTGTTGAAATATCAAAAATTTTAGAAATTTTCAAAAATTCGCATTTCCTATACGATTCTTTCGAAAATGTTGCTCCGTGACCATCAAAATGCTATATTTTTGGAATCAGCATGTCGAGATCTGCGTCCCTGAATTTTTTCACAATTTTCAGACAACTTTTTTAAAAATGAAAATTTTCCAATGGTCCCCCCTTCTTCAAATTTCCGCCAAATTTTGACATTTTCGAAACTTAACTAAACACATTTTCTTGTAGATTTCGAGCTCTAGAACTCACTTCCGGCATCGTTTCTTTGATAACTGCAACCGTTTTTCCGGAATCGACTGTTGAAATATCGAAAATTTTAGAAATTTTCAAGAATTCGCATTTCTTCCCGATTCTTTCGAAAATGTTGCTCCGTGACCATCAATATGCCATATTTTTGGAATCTGCATGTCGAGATCTGCGTCCCTGAATTTCTTCACAATTTTCAGACAACTTTTTTAAAAATGAAAATTTTCCAATGGTCCCCCCTTCTTCAAATTTCCGCAAAATTTTGACATTTTCGAAACTTAACCAAACACATTTTCTTGTAGATTTCGAGCTCTAGAACTCACTTCCGGCATCGTTTCTTTGATAATTGCAACCGTTTTTCCGGAATCGACTATTGAAGTATCGAAAATTTTAGAAATTTTCAAAAATTCGCATTTCCTGCCAATTCTTTCGTAAATGTTGCTCCGTGACCATCAAAATGCTGTATTTTTGGAATCAGCATGTCGAGATCTACGTCTCTGAATTTTTTCACAATTTTTAGACAAATTTTTTAAAAGTGAAAATTTTCCAATGGTCCCCCCTTTCTCAAATTTCGGCCTAATTTTGACATTTTCGAAACTTAACTAAACACACTTTCTTGTAGATTTCGAGTTTTAGAACTCACTTCCGGCATCGTTTCTTTGATAAGTGCAACCGTTTTTCCGGGATCGACCGTCGAAAAATCGAAATTTTCAGAAATTTTCAAAAATTCGAACTTCGTGCCTGAATTTTTTCACTATTTTCAGACAAATTTTTTTGACGATTTTTTAAGCATTAATATATGGTAGAGTGAAATAAGTTTTCAGGGCAAGCTAATTAGAATTATCTGTTTTATTGAAATCTAACACATAATTATGATTGCATTGTTAAATCTATTGTTACATTTCTTTTACATGTGTGCATATCAATAAATATTAAAAATAAATAGAGGGATTTTAAAAATTACATTCAAAGATGTTCTTATCGATTAATGTTACATCTGAGAGAAAACAGATTAAAATCAATTCAAATTAATGAAATTTCAATAAATATTACAAAAGAAGGTTCAAATTATCAAAACTTGCAGATTTCGGAAATGTCAACACTTGTCCCTTTTTAACAACACAACCCTGTAATACACAATCTTAAAATGATGTATTTCCCACCAAATGAAGTACATATTAATTTACTTAGTTGTTGGAATTTTTCTTAGTAAAGCCCCCTTAAGTTATTTATATATTTTAAATCTGTTTTATTGCAAAGTACATCTTTAAATGTCGCCTAATCAGCTTAAATAAATACTAAAATCACATATCAGTATTTCTTATTACAACTTACGCTTTGCGTCATTAAATAAATACTAGTATTGCACAAATCGAACACTCGTAATTTCTCCATAATCCCTCCTTCACTCCATCGAGAAAGGCGACTGTGCATTAGTCTTCAAGAAATAATTACCTTTGGCACTTAAAGAAAGCACGTTAGCCACCACAGCAACACATAACCAACTCTTACCTATAATCTACATAAAAACCCATATTGGTTATAGGCAAATCAGCCCGACAATCTCCATCCAAATAATCCTGCCACGACTCACACGGCACAGACACGAACCCGTGCGGATTCACCACACTCTCGGCATAAAACTGATACGCCCTCCAGTGGCTGCAGAAAACTAGAACAAACCCAAATTAGTGTCTTCGCCAGCTACAAAAACCAGTACCGACTGAGCGCAAGGGTGTTATCAGGAGTCGTCCTTTTCACTTCGATTTTCGTGCATCCAGGCTGGGGCGAAATACCCTTGTTGGGCCAAAAATCCACGTGTCCCACGTTTCGCGGAAACCCGAAAATCCCGGCGTCGGTGTGGATGGCGTCCACGAATTCCGCGTCGCTGCTGTCCAGCCGGAGGTGTTTGGGCCACTTTTTGAAAAGGGGTCCCGCGGGATCCAGGCCCGTTATTCGAAAAACGCGGCCGCTTTTCACGTTGGCGCCGCACACTCCGGCCATTTGGGCGCCCAGGCTGAGGCCGATGAGGTGCAGGCTGGGGAGGTACATGCCTCGGGATACCAAGTAGTCGATGAGCTTGGCAGTGTATTGTCCTGTTTTTGTTTAAATAATTCTGGCTTAAATCCGTGACCCGATTTTTCGCTAAGTGATTAATTTTTTAGCACTTGACCAACTTACCCACAATTTCGGTATTTCGTGCCGCCGTGTAGTACCAAGGACCTGCTTCCAGTCTAGGGGCATTCAAAAGTATGATGTTATAACCACCTCGTTGTAAATACGCTGAAACCAAATAAATAACAGTTTGTTTACATTGAACTTGATTTTAGTTTTTTATAATGAGCGTAAAAGTAAGTGAAAGTTGCAACTACGCTGCGTTCTTGCCAAAGTGCAAGAGTGCATTGATTTACGAGAACTACCTACCTGTTTTAATGAGAGTGGCGCTCAAAGTACTGGAAGATTCGAAAAAAGCGTGAAAATAGAACACCGTGGGTTGGGAAAAATTGAAATGGGATTCGGCCAGAAGTTTGTCGTCGTCGATGATGAGGTTTTGGGGTTGCAGGGGATTGTGTCTGGAATAAAAACCAAAGAGAAGTTAAATGCTGTCAATTATCAAAAATCTACCGATATATGAATCTGGGACAATTTATCTTACAGTTTTTGTCTCCCGTTTCCGTCTTTCTGTCTGTCTGTCTGCCGTATGTCCGGATTCTTATTAGACAGATAATCTCCGAAACTACTGAAGCAATTGTCAAATTTTATATAGTATCATGCAAATCGTCAACAATTTTGACGTTGAAGTTTTTTATTTCTTTTTTATAAAATAAAAAAAGTCTATGTTTGTCGTACAGTTTTTTTGATGCATTTTTTTAATGTCACCCCATCTTTAAGATTATTTTTTTAAATTCCAGCGGATCCATATAGAAACCGTTGACTTTGAGATTTTTACAAAAAAAAAAATTAAAAAAACACTTCAACCTCAACATTGGACTGTTTTCATAAAAAAAAGATATTTATAATAAATTAAAAAATAAAATGTGGAGTAAAACGTACCATTTGACTTACTACTAATTTACCTCTTTTTTTTATTCCTGCACCTGTGATTCATGAATGCGTGTAGAGTTTTCACCCTAGACATCCAGATTTTTGAGGAAAAAATCAAAATTGTACAACATTTTATATTTTACCTTTTAAAATTGTAAAACCGAATGCTCCGAAAACTTGAAAGTTTTTTAAGATTATCATATGGTAAATTGTTAATCAAAATTTTTTCGTTGATGCCCTCCTAAAAAATGATGACGTCATTTTATAATTTTGCAGAACAAATGTTTCTCAAATTTTATAGAACTACATACTTCATGTATGTGTAATTTAGAATCTGTGTTGAGTTTTTATCCTTGACGTCAAGATTTTTGGGAAAAAATTCGATTTCTCGATTTCTCAATTTTTCGATTTTCAAATTTTCGATGTTGAAGTTTCGAGATTTTTCAATATGTATTTCGATTTTTTGATTTTTAGAGTTTTCGATTTTTCAAAATTTTGCGATTTTTTAAATCTTATACTTTTCCATTTTCCAATTTTTTTATTTTTCTGTTCGTTTTTGAATTTTCACATTTAGCCACATCTATTTCTCAATTTTTCGATTTTTCGACCTCTCCATCTTTTGGTGTTTCGATTTCTCGATTTTTCAATTTTTCGATCTCGATTTCTCAATTTTTCGATAATTAATTTTTTCGATTTTCAATTTTCTAATTTTTCAAAGTTTCAGTTTTGGGATTTATGTATTTAAATTTTTTGATTTTTCAATTTTTCAATTTTTGGCGTTTCTAAATTTTTGGATTTTTCGATTTCTCGATTAATCAATTTTTTAATTTTTCCATTTCTCGATTTCTCAATTTTTCGATTTTCAAATTTTCAATGTTTTTAGTTTTGGGAATTCTCAATGTTGGTATTTTTCAATATATACATATTTCAATTTTTAATTTTTAGAGTTTTCGACTTTTCACTTATTCGATTTTTCAAGATTTTGCGATTTTTTAAATCTTACGCTTTTCCATTTTCCAATTTTTTGATTTTTCTATTCGTTGATGTTTTGATTTCTGCATTTTGTAAATTTTCAATTATTCCAATTTTTAAATTTTAGATTTTTCACTTTTTTAATGTTTCGATTTTTTGCATTTTCTTTCGTTTTTGAATTTTTCGATTTTTCAATTTTTCGGAATTAATTTTTCAATTTTCCGATATTTCGATTTTTCGATTTTCGATTTCAGGGTTTTCTTCCGGTTTTTGGCTTTCTCGTTTTTGAATTTTTCGGTTTTTCAATTTTTCGGAATTAATTTTTGGATGTCTCGATTTTTTTAATTTTTGATTTTTCTAAATATTTGCATTTTTCGATTTCACGATTTCTCAATTTTTCGATTTTCAATGTTTAAGTTTTGGGATTTTTCACTATTATGTATCTCGATTTTTAATTTTTAAATTTTTCGACTTTGTTTTTTTGATTTTTTACTTATTCGATTTTTTAAATTTTCCAATTTTTCATTTTTCTATTCGTTGATGTTTTGATTTCTCGATTTTGCAAATTTTTAAATTTTCGAATTTTTAAATTTTAGATTTTTCATTTTTTGTTGTTTCGATTTCTCAGTCTTTCGATTTTTTGCATTTTCTTTCGTTGTGAATTTTTCGAAATTAATTTTTCAATTTTCCGATATTTCGATTTTTCGATTTTTGATTTCAGGGTTTTCTTTCGGTTTTTCGCTTTCTCGTTTTTGGATTTTTCGGTTTTTCAATTTTTCGGAATTAATTTTTGGATGTCTCGATTTTTTTAATTTTTGATTTTTCTGAATATTTGCATTTTTCGATTTCACGATTTCTCAATTTTTCGATTTTCAATGTTTAAGTTTTGGGATTTTTCACTATTATGTATCTCGATTTTTAATTTTTAGATTTTTCGACTTTGTTTTTTTGATTTTTACTTATTCGATTTTTTAAATTTTCCAATTTTTCATTTTTCTATTCGTTGATGTTTTGATTTCTCGATTTTGCAAATTTTTAAATTTTCGAATTTTTAAATTTTAGATTTTTCATTTTTTGTTGTTTCGATTTCTCAGTCTTTCGATTTTTTGCATTTTCTTTCGTTGTGAATTTTTCGGAATTAATTTTTCAATTTTCCGATATTTCGATTTTTCGATTTTTGATTTCAGGGTTTTCTTTCGGTTTTTCGCTTTCTCGTTTTTGGATTTTTCGGTTTTTCAATTTTTCGGAATTAATTTTTGGATGTCTCGATTTTTTTAATTTTTGATTTTTCTGAATATTTGCATTTTTCGATTTCACGATTTCTCAATTTTTCGATTTTCAATGTTTAAGTTTTGGGATTTTTCACTATTATGTATCTCGATTTTTAATTTTTAGATTTTTCGACTTTGTTTTTTTGATTTTTTACTTATTCGATTTTTAAAATTTTCCAATTTTTCATTTTTCTATTCGTTGATGTTTTGATTTCTCGATTTTGCAAATTTTCAATTTTTCGAATATTTAAATTTTAGATTTTTCACTTTTTTGTTGTTTCACAATTTCTCAATCTTTCGATTTTTTTGCCTTTTTCTTTCGTTTTTGGATTTTTCGATTTTTCAATTTTTCAGAATTAATTTTTCAATGTTCCGGTATTTCGATTTTCGATTAAGGGTTTTCTTCCGACTTTTCGCCTTCTCGGCTTTGGATTTTTCGATTTTTCAATTTTTCGGAATTAATTTTTCGATGTTTCGATTTTTCACTTTTTGGTTTATCGTTTTTTTAAGTTAAAATTTTTCAATTTTGAATTTTCCCATGTTTCAATTTTTAGCCCCTTCCATTTCTCAATTTTTCGATTTTCCAACTTCTCGTTTTTTTGATGTTTCGATTTCGCGATTTTTCAATTTTTCGATTTCGATTTCTCAATTTTTCGATAATTCATTTTTTCGATTTTCCAATTTATCAACGTTTTAGTTTTGGGATTTATGTAGGATTTCAATTTTTCGATTTTTTAATTTTTCAGTTGTTGGCGTTTCTAAATTTTTGGATTTTTCGATTTCTCTATTTTTTGATTAATGGATTTTTTAATTTTTCGACTTATTCATTTTTCGCCTTTCCGATTTCTCGATTTCTCAGTTTTTCGATTTTCAAATTTTTAATGTTTAAGTTTTGGAATTTTCAATATCTACATATTTCGATTTTTAATTTTTAGATTTTTCGACTTTTCAAAATTTTGCATTTTTTAACTCATACACTTTTCCATTTTTCAATTTTTTGATTTTTTAATTCGTTGATGTTTTGATTTCTCGATTTTGTAAATTGTCAATTTTTCGAAGTTTTAAATTTTAGATTTTGCACTTTCTTGTTGTTTCGATTTCTCAAACTTTCGACTTTTTGCTTTTCTCGGAACGAATTTTTCAATTTTCTGATATTTCGATTTTTCAATTTTCAATTTAACGGTTTTCTTTCGATTTCTGGCCTTCCCGTTTTTGGATTTCCTGGTTTTTCAATTTTTCGGAATTAATTTTTCAATTTAGCGATGTTTCGATTTTTCACTTTTTCGTTTGTTTGTTTTTAGACAAAATTTTTCAATATCAAATTTTCCCATTTTTCGATTTTTAGCCACATCCATTTCTCAATTTTTCGATTTCTCGATCTTTTGATATTTCGATTTCGCGATTTCTCAATTTTTTTATTTCGATTTCTCGAATTCTCAATTTTGCGATAATTCACTTTTTCGATTTTTCAATTTTCCAATATTTTAACATTTCACTTTAGGGATTTATGAATTTAAATTTTTCGATTTTTCAATTTCTTGATTAATGGATTTTTTAATTTTTCGACTTATCGATTTTTCGTCTTTCCAATTTCTCGATTTCTCAATTTTTCGATTCTCAAATTTTCAATGTTTAAGTTTTGGGATTTTTCAATATAATATATCTCGATTTTTAATTTTTAGATTTTTCGACTTCTGTTTTTTTTTTAATTTTTTACTTATTCGATTTTTCAAAATTTTGCGATTTTGTGCATCTTACGCTATTTCATTTTTTCAGTTTTTTGATTTTTCGATTCGTTGATGTTCTGATTTCTCGATTTTGTAAATTTTCAGTTTTGCGAAATTTTAAATTTTTGATTTTCACTTTTTTGTTGTTTCGAATTCTCAATCTTTCGATTTTTTGTCTTTTTCTTTCGTTTTTAGATTTTTCAATTTTTTAATTTTTCGGAATTAATTTTTCAATTTTCCAGTATTTCGATTTTTCGATTTTCGCCGTCTCGGTTTTGGATTTTCCACTTTTTCAATTTTTCGTATTTAATTTTTCATTTTTTGATGTTTCGATTTTTCACTTTTTGGTTTATCGATTTTTTTTAGTTAAAATTTTTCAATTTTGAGTTTTCCCATTTTTCGAATTTCAACCAATTCTATTTCTCAATTTTTCGATGTTTCGATTTAGCGATTTTTCAATTTTTCTATTTCGATTTCTCGATTTCTCATTTTTTCGATAATTCATTTTTTCGATTTTTCAATTTTCCAATTTATCAACGTATTAGTTTTGGGATTTAT